CGGGGGCAACACCGAGGGTTGCGATCCCGTTGCCGGTCCCGGTCCAGTACGGGGGCGACACAGAGGGTTGCGATCCGTTGCCGGACACGGAAAAAAGACAAAATAAATAAATAAATAAAATAAAATAAAATAAAATAAAAATATGTATACATCTGTCTAGGTATGTTTTTACAAAGATCTAATATATTCGTCAAACTTCTTCCAGAGGATAGAGTGGATTTTCCTGGGGAGTAAGCATGGGAAAGGGGTAACATGGAAGTTTGCTTTTAGCTTCATACGTTTTTAGGTTAATTGATATGTTATCAATGAAAAAGACCTCCCCAGTCCAAAGACACACAGACAGATATACTAGATGTTCACTAAATTTTTCCATAATATATTTATAGTTTCAGTTTTTCCTTCCAGATCTTTTTTATTTGGGATTAGTTTTCTAATATGTGGCAAGGACTCCCCCCTTGACCTAACTCTGGTCAGGCTCCTCTGAACTCTTCTCAAGTAGGCCTTGACTTCTAAGCTTCTGTGTTCATTTCTGATTGGCTCAGTTTTAGCAAGAACACTGCTGAATCACTTTAGTGAGAAGCCCCCCACCTTTGATGTCTGATCACCTGGCCTGCTTTCAGCAAGAACACTGTTAGGTTGGTTTAGCCAGAATCTCCCATACCCCGGATGTTTTCTCTTAGTAATTGTCCATCCACTGATCCTAACCCTGCTCCTTAGCTATAAATTCCCATGTGTCCTTGCTGTATCTGGAGTTGAGCCAAAACTCTCTCTCCCCTACTACAAAAGCTGATTATAGTAGCCCCCCTTTAATAAAGTCTTCCTTAAAGTCTTTAATAAGGGTTCCAGTCAAGATGGCAGGATAGATGGTTCCCAGGGTCACTCTCTCCCACAAATCAACCAATTTACAACTTTAAAAATGTAACATCAGCCAAGCTGGGGCTGCTGAAGCTCAGGGGAAGAGGAGGAGAGACCTACAGAGTTCATGAAGGAGGGAGAAACTACAATGAGAGAAATAAAAGGCTGCTCGGAGCATTTTGGGCCACAGCTGCTTTAAGGCTTGAGCTGATAAGTGCATGGAGGAGGAGCCGGCAGAAGCCACAGCTGTGCCCTTCAGATGGAGTTACTTGGAGGCGGCAGGGGAGAAGAGGGCCTTGACAGCCCCCAGGATAGCAAGACCACTAATAGGGCTCCCATGGACTCACGCAGAAGCGAGGAGCCAGAACAATTGAAAAAAGGGAGCCATCCAGAGGTCAGTGAGTCATCACAAGGGACCGGTGCAGGGCCCTCTCATGGGAAGTGTTTGGAGCATGGGCAGTGGGCAAGATGGGAACACTGGGAGAACACTGGGACACAGCAAGGACAGACAACCTGCCCCCTAATCAGCACAGGACCACTGAGAGGAGACTGGTCAGGAATGCAGAATTGCATGGGGTGCAGTTTGATGAAAAAACTCAGGCCCAGATCAGAGATTCTACAGAACACAGATCCACAAGGTCTCTGGAGATCTGGAAGTACCTATAAGATCGACCATTAAACCCTGAGCTGCACAAAAACCTTCCCTAGGGAAACAGCAGCAAAGTAGCAATTTAAACAACCACACACGCAAGTACTGGTTCCCACAGGAAGTTCCCCCGTGTTAGAAGCAAATGGCAAAAAATTAGTTCCGGTCCAGGCACATCACCAGCATCTTGGGGCCTGCCTGGGAACCGGAGGCTTGAAGCCGGGGAGACCGGACCCAACTCCCACTTCCAGGCAAACTGTGCCAGCACCTCAGGGCCAGTGCAGGGACCCGAGGCATGGAGCCAGGGACTGGGCCCTCCTCCCACAACCAGGCATAACACATCAGCACCTCGGGGCCCGCCCAGGGACCTGAGGCATGGAGAAGGGGACTGAACATCTCTCACACAACAAGGCACACCGAGCCAGTGCCTTGGGGCATGCCTTGGGGCCTGCCCAGGGACCCAGAGCATGGAGAAAGGGACCGGACCCTCCTCCCCAAACCAGGCACACCACGCCAGCTCCTTGGGTCTGCCCCGTGACCCAAGGCATGGAGAAGGGGAACAGACACCCCTCCCACAACCAGGCATATCGCCAGTGCCAAGGAACATACCAAAAACAGCACCTCCATGTGGGTGGCCCACTACAGCCACCACAATAACCATGGCTGCCGCGAAAGTGGCTAGATGCCACAATCACCACACAGATGGTCCGCCAACCACTGGAGTGCATTCACACAAGGAGAGTCACCAACAGAGACAAAGAAAAGAAGAGGATGTCTCTTTCCACAAAGCCCATTTCAGAGTGACAGACAAAGCATCTGCTCTATGATAATATTGGGGGACCTGATCACATCTCTCAGCATTGGACAGATCATCTAGGCAACAAATTAACAGAGTAACCATGATTCTTTCAGAAGGAGAGAAGAAATCTAGGGTAATTAGAAGGGGGAGGGGGAGGGAACGGGGGAAGGAGAGAGATTGGACAAGGGGCATAAAGAATAATTACGATTTGTAACAATACATGTGTTAGTAATATTGATTTGATCAACATACCTCAATGTTCAACTCCAAAAATATGTATAATCGATTTTGATTCAATAAATAAAATGAATTTTTAAAAAAAATAATAAAGTCTTTAATAAGTGTCACAAATAATTTTTTAAACATGTTGGTTAATTGGCCTAAAGCCATTTATTAAATGATCCATTTCCCACTAACTTAAAATGATCCCTCTGCCATATACACTATTCTTATATATACAAATGGGGCCACTTTGCAATACCCAGCTCTCCCACTGAGCTATGTGCAATAGTGCAGCCCTGTTATAATTCATGTGGCTCCTTTTCAGTGTCTGCTAGGGCAAGACTCTCTTCAGCACACTACTCTTTCAAAATTTAGCCCAAGCAATTATTTGTTCAGATTATTATTATTTTTTTTTTCCTTTTTGTCTTTTTTCATGTCCGGCAACGGACCACAACCCTCAGTGTCGCACCCGTACCAGACCGGGACTGGCAATGGGATCGCAACCCTCGGTACTGCGCCCACCCCTCGCTCAGCCAGTGAGCGGGAACCGGTCTGTATGTGGGATCCGAACCCTCGGCGGGAGCGCCACCACACTCCCAAGCGGCGCACTGTAGCAGTGCGCCACCGGGCCGGCCCAGATTATTTTTTAAGTTCAAAAATGATGTTAATTCTGAGCTTTTTACTGCAATTACACCAAACATTGATTGATTTGGGAAGATCTGACATTGTTTCAATAGTAATTCTTCTAACTCAGGTACACAGCATATTCACCTTCATTTATATTCACAAAATATACATCTGCCTGGCACATTCCTAGACATTTTACATTTTTTGATGCTGATATATATGGGATATTGCAGACATATTTTCCAACTGGTCAGTACTGATTTTTGAGATATGTGAGAATAATATATGAGAATTTTACATTGTAATTCATCAGCTTTCTCCTTTATTAATTCTTGGAGTTTATCAGTTGATATGCTTGGGCCTTATAGAATTTTTAAAAATTACATTTGAAGTAATCATCTTTTCTCCTTTTATCATTTTCTTTTTATTTTTTTTTTTTGAGACCGGCCGCACCGCGCTCAGCCAGTGAGCGCACCGGTCATCCCCATATAGGATCCGAACCCACGGCGGGAGAGCTGCTGCACTCCCAGTGCTGCACTCTCCCGAGTGCGCCACGGGCTCGGCCCGTTTTATCATTTTCTTATCTGACAGTACTGACTAGAATCTCCTGATAATTACTGGTGCTGATGTCCTAACTTTAATGGCCCATTAATAAGTGTCTTTTGATTGCCTTCCAAGTGCCAAGCATTGAGGTAGATGCTTGAGACCTAGTGGAAAGCAACAGGCTCCATCCCTGCTCTCAGGGGACTCGCACAGAGAGAGCATCAAATACTGACTAACACTGCAAATAACAACGACAAAGAGCAACTACTCCCAGCAACAGGCACTGCTCCTGGTGCTGGGGCTGAAGCACAAGGGAGCATTAGTGCTTCACACAGAGGATAATTTGAGATTCAGACAGGCATTCTCTATTATATTAAACTACTTCTAGTTTATCAGGAGCTGCCAAATGCCTTTTAGATTTCTATGGAGAGGATCCCTGCATCTTAAATCTATTTCTGTGGTAAATTTCCAGTTTTAACCATAAATCCTATTTAATCATGATGCATCTTAACATACTGCTGGATCATATTCATTCATATATATTGCAGAATTTTCCCTTTATATTCATAAGTAAGTTTAATGATTCATTTTCTTTGTTACATATGCACCCTGATATTAGGATTATGCTAGCTTCATAAAATGAACTGAGAAGATTTCTATCTTTTTCTGCTTCATGGCAACAGTAGAGGATTTGTTCATAAAGTCATCAGGAATGGGCCATTAGCCAGCATTTCCAATTTCTTCCATGACTACCAACCATGGTTATTTATCTCTTCTTCACTCAATGGAAGACTAAGTCCATCCTTGAGAGATGTGACAGCTAACTCACCTTTAGATGCCTGAACTCTCTGTAACCATCACTAGAACAGTGATTCCCAAACTCTGAGGCACATTAAAAGTTGCTGGGAGAGCTTTTAAAAGTCTCAATCCCCAGGCCACATCCCTGACCAATTACATCAGAGTCTCTAGGGCAGCAGCCAGGCAGCAGTGTTAATTTAAAAAAAAAGATCTCCAGGTGATTCCAATGTACAGCAAGCTTTTCTGACCACTGAACTACACCAAATTTTTTTCCTAAGTTTTGCAATGTTTTAGATTCAAAATTATTCACTTACCTGATCTACGTCACACCCAAGTCGGAGCAGCACAGGAAAAGTTCGCTTATAGAGCTGGTACATGGGTGGGGAGCCCTGACCACCTTCAGGGATTTGAGTGGCTTTTCCCAGCATAAACATAACCATGCTATGTAAAAGTTCACAAGCTGCAACCTAAAATAGGCCAGGAGTTCAACAAAGTTTAAGTTATCATGTTCACAAGAGAGGAATATTTTGAAACATTACTCAACTTAGCCCTTGAAGAAGAAAAACTTGTATTGAAGATAACTGTCCTGTAACCCAAACATAATTAACTGGAAATAGCATTTCTTGTTGTATAAAGTTAATGCTTTTGTTCACTTTGATCTTTATCCAAGAGTTAAGAATTGAAATTTGTAAGCATTAGACATTGGGACTAATACATTCATAAGAATGTATTTCAAGCTGCCATTATTTCAGAACTACATAACCTTGCTTCATCTGCTGGCATATTTTCTTTTTTCATGGCTGGTCAATCAGGAATAGAACCACAGACCCTGGTGTTACCAGCACCACTTTGTAACCAACTGAGCTAATGGGACATCCCTGTTAACTTTTTTTCTCTTTTTGGCTGCTGGCCAGTACAGGAAACGTTAGCACATTTTCAACTCTCACTTTTAGAGAATATATTTTTTAAGTACTTTGGAAATTTACAAATTAATATTAAAATCTGAGATTATGTTTCTACCCTCCCAGGTTAAGAGGATAATCGAGTACAGATTGAATAGCACTCTTAAATACCCTTTGTACTTCATTTTCTATAATAAAGAGCTTTTGGTACAGTCTTTGCCAGGTTATTATCTATTAAGATAATTTGTTTAATTTTCATTTATCAATGCACCTACTTCTGATAAGTAAGTAGTTTTCTAATTACATTACAGAAAATACAAAATTAATGATATTGGAACAGCTGAAATATATTATCTGCATGTGTGTACAGCAACAGACTCTAAACAATGAGTGAAATGAAAAATATAAGTACTTTAGTTTGTCTGTCACTAGCTGAGAGAGCTAACTCTGTGACCCGAGGCAAGAACACATCCAGGTAAATGGCAGGCTTCATCTCTCTGAATGGCACGGCAAAGCTGAGCTTCTTCTCTGTGTCCCAGGCCACACACTGCTTCATCATTTTGTCTGAGGATGCAGCTGTCAAAAAATCAATGCACCTACTTCTGATAAGTAAGTAGTTATCTAATTACATTACAGAAAATACAAAATTAATGATATTGGAACAGCTGAAATATATTATCTGCATGTGTGTACAGCAACAGACTCTAAACAATGAGTGAAATGAAAAATATAAGTACTTTAGTTTGTCTGTCACTAGCTGAGAGAGCTAACTCTTGTGACACGAGGCAAGAACATGTCCAGGTAAATGGCAGGCTTCATTTCTCTGAATGGCACGGCAAAGCTGAGCTTCTTCTGTGTCCCAGGCCACACCCTGCTTCATCATTTCGTCTGAGGATGCCGCTGTCAAAAACGATTTAAGAAGAATGCTTCTCCATTCAAAATCTTTCTAATACCAATTGTTCTACCTCTCATTAGTTGAACCAGAGTGCTTTTATACTTTTAAGTTAAGTACTTTATTTATCTTTCCTTTTTTTTTTTTTTTTTGCTTCAAATATGTAATCACAACATTAGAAATCACTGATATGGGATTTCTGAATTTAAAGTAAAATTACTTTTAAAGAAGACTAATGGAATGTTTAATATCTAAATTCAATGATAGTTACTTAAGGTATTTTGTAGAAAAATGGTAAATAAGCAATATTTTTTTAAAATCTCCTCTTTAAAACATTTATTTTCCAAATACAGGCTCTATCTTTCTAAATAAACAAACTCACTAGTATATTTAACATAAAATTTCAAAAGTAATAATATAGATGAATTTTTACTGATCAAAAATGTCAATTCTTATAAGAACAATCTGAAAATGTCTAAATATTAAGAATATTGGGTTTAAAAAACATTAACTCTGAATTCTCCTGACACTATGTTATATAGAAAAGACTATCAAATCAGACTGTTTGAAAATGGAAAACATGCTTAACAAATCAAGCAAGAACGTGTGTTCTGCTAGCATACTGAATTATTCAGATTGCGTGGGTACAAAGCGTTTCATTAAGCTAAATATTATTCTTTATAATCTTATCTGAAAATATGTAAATTGGATATGAGTAAATATCAGAATACACTGTTATCTGCATACATCCAAATTAAAGCACAAATATATCTACAGCAGTTCATTTATTTTAAAGGAAAGTTTACCTGTTAAAAGATTTTTGTTTATTTGTCCTCCTAGAGATCCAAGCATTTGTACTACTCTAATTCTTATTTCCTCTAAGGACAGTGCTTCATTCTGCAAAGTTGAACAATTGTACTAATGTTAGGATAATTGAGTTAAAAATTTAAGAAAAGTCGAGAGAAAAGAAAAACTATTTTACCA